CGGTCACAACCAGACACAGCGGCCGCTGTCCGCCCAGCCGCGGGGTGGGGCACCCGGGCCCGGGGCCCGCTCTGCGGCCTGTCAGGAGATTTACACCCGACTCCTAACAGCCGCGCGCGGACTCGCAGGCGGGTGCTGGGCCCCGGGTGGTCCGCCTGAATCGGCCCCCTGTGAGCAGATGAAAGCTGGTCGGTGGCTGGGCAGGGAAATGGGCTGGCGGGGGGCCAGCGGGCAGGGAGGCAAGCGGCTCCCTCCCAGGGCTGCAAGTGGGGCTTCCATCGGCCTGGGGTTGATTAGGGGAAGCCGGGAGGTCTGAGGTTAACCCCTTCCCTCCTGCTGGGTGCACTCCCCTGGGGATCCAGGGAATTCTGGGAGCTGGGGGCCAGAAGCCGTTGCCTCTCTGCAACCCCAGCATCCCTCTGCCTCCCCACACCTGGAGCTCCGAACAAAACTGTGGCAACTTTAGGACCCTCAAAGGCCCAGAGACAGGCTTAGTTAGGGTCACTTCTCCTGCCCATGCTGTCTGGGGCCCCCTGCAACCACTGGCTCTGTGCTCACTTCCTTCAGACCTCTCTGGTCAAATGTCACCTCTTCAAGAGGCCCCCACCTGGATCTGCTCCCTGCCCATGTCCCATCTGTGCACTCTCCATCCCTCCCTGCCCAGCTCTGCTTTTTCTTCCTAAGACTTCTCACTACCTGAAATTAAGTCAGCTAATCATTTGTTTACTTCATTTATTCAACAAACAGTTACTGAGTACCTCCTAAGTGCTCATGTCTGTATTTGGGGTCTAGGCCAGTACCTGGCAAAGCAGAGGAAAGAACCTCTGCCCCGTGGAGCATATACACTGGTAAGGGGAGATGAGAAATAAATGAGTGAACTCTACAACATCTTGGAAGGTAATCAGGGCTCTGGGTAAAATCAAGGCTGGTAAGTATGGGTGGGGTGGGGGTGTGTATGATTTGAAACAACATGTCAGAGGAGGGCTTGCTGGGAAGTTAGAGTAAAGCCTTCATTCAGGGTGGGAAAGAGCAAGCCATGTATCCGGGGGTGTCTGGGGAGGAGTGTTCCAGGGAGAGAGAATAGCAGTGCAAAGGTCCTGAGGCAGGGATGTGGCTGGCCAGTTGGAAGACCAGCCAGGAGGCTGGGGTAGCCAGAGCAGGGTGAGTGAGGCCAAGGATGTCAGGGAGGAAGGCAGGGGGTAATGAGCACAGAGCAGGTGGGGCCCTATGGGTCATGGTGACTAGAGGACTGTTTACCATCTTTCCCCGGAGCCTGTCTACTGGGTTCACTGTGGCATCCCCAGCTTCTAGAACAGTGCCAGACACATGAAAGGTGACCGGGAAAATATTTGTTGAAATCATTCCATGTACATTTTTGGGAAGAAAGGGCCCACAGGCAAGATGCCCGGACTGCCCTCCTCTGTCCCAGGCAGGATTAAGAACTGGGGTCCTACCCTTTCAGGTACCAGCACCTGCTAAGGCTGGAAGATGGGGTGAGTGGTTCTTAAACCACGGTCCGTGCCAGAACCGCTAGGCACTGGGCTGCCTCCTGCCTAAATCCTGGATCCTGGTCAGCCACCTGCTTTTTTAACCAGCCCCCAGTGACTATGAGGGACACCAGCATTGAGAACCTCAGAAACCAAGGCCACACAGGCAGGAAGCCACCAAGCCAGCCTTCAAGGCCAGCCAGCCACCTGGCTGCAGATCGGGCATGCTGTGCAGGGCACCAGAGGGGAACGACCCAGCCACAGAACCCACAGCTGGGCCGCAGGGATCTGTAGACTCCCACTCCTTGGCTCCCAGAACCAGCCCCTACTCCCACCCCACCCCATAGGAGGCTCAGCCCTCACATGGGGTTGAGAGTCAGCAAGCAGGAGAAGAGCCCAGAAAGGAAATCCTGTGATAAATCCATGAGGGTTTGGTACTTCCGGCGGGGCTGGGCAGCTACAAGCTCCTTTCACGCTCAGGACGACTCCGCAGGGCAAATGCTGACAGCTACTATCCTCCCCATTTACAGATGAGCACAGGGAGGTGGGAAGGCCCTTCCAAGTGGCCCTCACTTCTCTGAGTCCTAGACTGGAGCCCGTGGGGGGCACTGAAGCTCACCCTCGGGCCAGGGGCTCTGCCTCCTGGCCTGTCCCCTCCCGGGGTGGCTGAGGGCCCATTAACGGGGACTTCGCACCAGGCCTGATGCGTGGGGAACGCCTGGCAACCAGCAGCATCGAGCTGGCCTCTTACCTCATACAGGTGGGGACAGAGAGGCCCAGAAAGGAAGAGGACTTGTCCAAGGTCACAGACTGAAGGCCGGGTCAGGGTCAGAGGCCAGGGTGCTGGTGAGGCCTGACCCGCGGGCCGGGGTGGGTGGGGGCAGAAGCCAGCAGGTCCTCAGCATGGGCGGCCTGCCGAGCAGCCCCCTCCCACAGCTGGTCTTTTCCAGAAATCAGCTTCTGCCAAGGTTTTGTTTGAACAAGTCTCTTTAGACCCATGGGTCTGGCCCATGCCAAGGCCCAGAGAGGGGCGCTATCTGCCTCAGGTCGCGTAGCCAGCCCACCGCCGACTCCCGCCTGTCCCCCAGCCCGGCTTCCTTTCCTTCCTCTTGCTGCCTCGTCTCTCTCTGGCCTCTACTGCCTTGTCCCGTGTCACCCTCCCCCATCAGCTCACCCCCCAGAAGGGCTGTCTCAGGTCTGGGGGGCCCCAGGAGAGGAGCAGGCAGGGGATATGAAGTGGGGGCCCCCACAGGCAGAGCCGAGCCTTTACCCTCATTCAGGGGCCTCAAGGGGGAGGGTGGGTGGCTCTGGGACAAGTGGGGCTGGACGTCGACGGCCCTGAGGGACTCCAGGCATTGCTGGGCCGCCCAGGGAATGTTCCTAGCAAGCTTCGGGACCCCTGCTCGCGGGCCTCTACAGACTGGGTGCTTTGTGGAGTGGCTGCTAAGCACTGCAGCATCACACTGAGCCCAACCGTGGCTCCTGTCCGTCCCGATTCGGCCCCTGGAGAGAGAGTGGCATGTCACCTCCTTTATACCTCCATGGCCATGGCTTGGGTTTCTCAGCAGCCATCCTGCTGCTGACCAAGAGAGGGTCAGAGAGGGTCACCATCCACTAATGGTGGTGGTGGTGGGAATGCATGGCAGTGGCCAGGTACTGGGGATAACAGAACACCATGAATCCAGTGACTCACCAGGACCCTTCCCTCTGCTACAGCCAGATGCTATCCGCATGCCGTCACTGATCCCTAGGCCTGCAGCATGGTTGGTATCACCCCACTTCCGGGAGGAGGGGCTGAGGCCCAGAGAGGCCAGCAACTTGCCCAAGGTCCCTCAACCGGGCAGGCTGGCTCAGAATCTGTTCTCTGCATCATGATGGCCTACGGCTCACAAGGGCTTCCTAAACATCACCCCCTGAGACTCCTGGGATCATTGACCCAGTTCACAGATGACAAAACTGAGGCCAAAAAGACACGACTTGTTCAGGGCTATGAAGCCCAAGGCCAGGGGCATGGACCCATCCAAGTCCAATCCCAACAGGAATATGGCCAGAGCAGATGCCTGCCTGTGAGCCTCATGGCCAGATGTGGGAGCTCAGGGAGGCTGGAAGAGGTAGCCCTGAGAGTCTACGGGGAGAGTCATCCAGGGCCACCAGGCCCAGCATTAAGCTTCCCAAGTGGCCAGACGCTGGAGTGGGCCCAGGAATTGGCTAGATGGGGAGCCAGGCCAGCCTGATTCCCAAGAAGGAAGGGGCCAGCCCACGGCCAGGCCTGGGTGGCCCTCAATGATGACACCCTGGCATAGCCACACCCTTGTTCTGAGCCTCCTGGGCTCAGGTCCCCATTCTGTCTTCCCGCCCCAAGTCCACCCAGCTTAGAATAGATTTCCAAGACTGTCTTAGGAAGACAGGGCACTCTCAGCAGACTGTGGGAGGCCCTGGCAGGTTCTCAATGTCCCCTGGCCTGGATTCTCTCCTCACTGGAACCGGGGTGACCCTTTGGCTCTGCTGTCACAAGGATCCCACAAGATAATAAATGTGAGAGCGTTTTCCAAACTGCAAAGGGTCACTATCCTAAAGAGCAAGACAGGGTAGCTCTCAATGCCCCACACTGAGCAGGTCATAAATCCAGGGGTTGTCCACAAAAGCACTCTGGTCAGGACCCTGGTCAGAAAGCAGCCAGTCCAGAGATGGCTAGCTGGTTCTCAGTTTCTTTCATTCATTCATTCATTGATTCAGTGAACGCAAGCCTCTGGCCCACTCTGTGCCAACTCCCCTCCCTCCAATTTCCCTAATCTAAATCTGCAAACTCTGGGTCCTTCAGCAGGCAGAAGCAATAAAACACAAATGTCCCTGATGCTAAAACGCACACATCAGGACTCCCTGCACATAGTAGGTGCTCAATAAATATTTGCAGAATCAAATCTGCATTCCTGAGTGTAGTTTTTGGGGTCAGAGTGCCTGGGCTCTGTGTGACTTAAGTCACATACTGAGATCCAAAGAAAGTTTCCAAGGAGCGGATCTGGCCTCACAGCCAGACCAGCTCCTGTTTTTGATGGCTCCCTACCTCAGCCCCTGGCAGAGGAAGCTGGGGTGGAGTAGAGCAAACCTGGCCTGACCCCCCTCCCCTCACAAATACCCTATCTGAAGCCTTTTCCATCCCTGAAGACTTTCCTTAATAGATGCAAAGTGCAAATCCATACTCCTTTAGTGGCCCATCCACCCCCCCGCCACTTCCATGGGCAGGCATCCGACAGGGAAGGGGTTTAAGCTAATTCTGCCTCTTCCCCTCCCAGCATCCTTGCTGGCCTCCAGCAGTCCGGGGCTAAGCACAGAGGGTTCAGGGGTTGCTGGCAGGCACACAGTGTGTGTTGGGCTGTAGAGCCCAGGACTGCGATCCCCCACAGGAGTTCTCCACGGACCCAGTGCCATCTATCTGACCTTGGCTGCTGCCCTCTCCACCCCATGCTGGGCTCTTTCCCCCCACCCAGGGGGCTCAGTGACTCTGGCACTTACGTCTGGGTTCCCGGGGTCCATCCACGGTCACCTTGATGGCTCGGTGGTAGGTGGCCACTTGGGTGGGGTTGGTGAACACGGTGATGGTCAGTGTGAAACTCTTCCCTGGGGTGGAGAATAAAGGCAGAAGGTTGGCACCTGGAGCTATTAACAATACCCTGTTCTTCCTTCCAAAAGGGGCAGATCTCTCTCCTTTGAACCTGGGCAGAAGACGGGGCTCTGGATGAAGTTCTAGCTGCTGGTCTTGGCATTCAAGGCCTCGGGAGGTCTCGCACCAACTTTATCATCTTCTGGGCACCCTATTTCTTCCCTGCTTCCTGGCCTTTATGCCATTCCTTCTACCCAGAGACCCTCATGATTTTGGGGTGGGGAGCATCCCAAGTATATTTATGAAAATATGTATAAAAATACATATTTTGGGGGCACCTGGGTGGCTCAGCCAGTTAAACATCTGCCTTTGGCTCAGATCGCGATCCTGGGGTCATGGGTTAGGCTCCCTGATCAACGGGGAGTCTGCTTCTCCCTCTCCCTCTGCCTCTCTCCCACTCCTGCTCATGCTCTCTCCCTCTCTCTCAAATAAAATCTTTTAAAAAAATACATATTTTTTTCCTGGAAGTAAATTATGAACTTTATAAAAAATTTGGGGAACACAGAAAAATCACCCACAGTTCCACTAGCCAGAGATAAACACTGTTAACATGTGGGTGTTTTCTGCTCTAATCCCTTTTGGGTGGGTATGTGTGTTTATAGAATGGCAAGGATCCCAAAATACGTATCTTCATACCCCGATTTTGTTTTTCTTCATTTAACCTCACATCGTAAGCACTTTCTGATGTCATTAAAAATCCTTCATAAACTTCATTTTTAATGGCTGCAAAATACTTCAACCCACAGAAGCCCCATCTTTTCTTTATCTGCCTCCTTAATCCCTGCTGCTGCCCCAGCAGCCTCCTCCTGGAGGCCCCCTGGGGGGGGCTGAGAGTGGGCTGATTGGGGAGCTGCCGACATTTCATTTGTAGACGCAACTGTTATTTCCAGAACTCTGTTCTATTTTTAGATAGACATTTGGCTCCAAAGTCTCCATTCAAAATTCCTAAGAGAGGAAAAACCTTTAAAATAATTTTTTTTTTTTTGCCATTTAAAATAAAACGAAAATGACCTTTTGTTTATAAAAATCTTTGTCTCCATCTCTGCTTATTTCCTTAGAATAGATTCCAAGAAGTGGTGAGTGATTTCATCGCATCAGAGGGCGGGGGGCGCATTCAGAGGCATTGATCTCTCAAGTGAGAGGATGCTCCTCCAGAGTCACTGTGACTGTGACCGCCCCCACTCAGCGCGCGGCCATCAGCACCCGGCCGTCGGCAGCATGGCCGCCTATCAAGGTGGAAGATCTACACGCTCCTTGACTTCATCTGCTGCTCTGCATGCCTAGTGAGACTGAAACTTTTTATATGATTATGGTCTGTCCCAACCCAACACAAATTACCGCTTCGTGTTCATAACTTTATGCTTTCCTTATTCGCGTTTCAGTGCCTTTTAGAAATCAGCCTGTGTTAACCTATTAGCACTTCCCCACCCCCTTTGTGGCAACCAGTTTCTCAGCTCAGTGGCCTTTACATTCTGCCTTCTGATCCGGAGCTGTTTTGCATTTTCAGTTCTTCCTCCTGTTGGTGATTTCTTCTAGTGTTTCATGTTCAGGCAGGGTTCCCCATGGAACAAGCAGATAAGGTTGACCTTAGATAAACAGCGTTCTCTCTACCTTCTACCTTTAATTCCTTGGTTCTTCTGGAGTTTAACTGGTGGGTGTGGTATAAGGGAAAGATAAGGGCAACCCAATTCTCTCATCACCTTCAGTGAAGTAGGAGTCCCCTCTCTCCTGCCCTCTTCTTATCAGCATCAAAGCCCCCACACTGTATGAGATTGGGGAGGCTGGGGCGGCAGGTGGCGGGGGGGGGGGCTTTGCTCATCTCCTAAGCTTGGCCTCCTCCTTCTCTGCTTCTGAGCATCCCCATCTCTGGACCCCATTTATCAATCCAGGGACTCCCTAAGGGCAGGGGCCCAATGGCTCGGTGCACCTGTGTCCACCAGGGCTGGCTCAGGATGGGCAACTGAGGGAGGCTGTCCATGTGGACCCCTCTGCTTCCCCTGCACTCCCGGCAACTCTCCAAGGTGGGCAGGCAGTCTTGCTACCCCCTTCACAGGCGGGAGATGAAAATTCAGGGCAGGGAAGGAGAGCTTGTGTTTCTCTTTGCCGGGCTGGGTCCGGTGATCATGTGAAAACTCAAGTCCCGGAAACAGGAGAATCCAGAACAAAAGTAAACCAGCCAGGCTTCCAGGGCCACACCACGGAACCCCAGGGCTTCTGAGACACCAGGGGGTGGTTTAAATCGAGGTGTGAAACTCAAACTGGGGCAGGGTGGGGCCTCTCTGGAAGAATTTTCCTGAGCCAGCACACTGGAGGCAGGGATGGAAATGCATACAGCACCTGCCCCTGGAGTCCTGGGTCAGAGGAAATCGAACCCCTCACTCTCGGACCACAGGGGCACTTTCCATGGTTTCTGGAAACCGAAAGTGCAGAAGGTCTAGGGAAATGCCAGGCAGGTGGCCTCAGGCTTCCTGCCCACCTCCCCTTCCTGGGATCTGCCGTCCCTCCCTCTTTGGTCATTTTTCCCCTGGATTCCTCCCTCCCCTGCCAGCCAGGCACTTTCCCAGATGGGGGGGGGGTGGGCGGGTGGGGGGCGGTTCCTGGGCCTCTGCCGCTTCCATCACCTCCTAGACACTGCCAGGTGCTGGGCCAGATGGGCCCCAATTACTGAAGTGCTCCTGTGTCTCCCTCATTTCCCTCAGGTCTCCACTGAAAAGTCACCTCCTCAGTGAAGCCCTCTCTGTCTCCTTTATCTAAAGCAGGCATTTTAAACTTGGCATCCAGGGCTCCTTCTTAGGATTAAGCGGGCCCTGTGAACAGGGACAGGAAAAAAGGAGACAATTGTATTGTCTCTAACCTCTGGCTACAATTTAGCATCTCCCTCAAGTATGACCGTGGGCAACAAACCACAGAGGGATTATAGAAGTCCCTGTGACCTTGTCACCAATAGACGTCACAGATATTTACATATCACATTACAGACATTGCATATTTCTCTAAATATCTTTCATGCTCGTCACAACTTCAAAATCACGGTCGTCATCAAACCCGTTGCCACATCTTATTATTTAATACACTACTAAAAGAGCACATTTATCCCAACTGTTTTAGACATTTTGCTAACTATGTTTTGTTATAATTGGTTTCCACTGTAATCCTTTGTATTTTATTTTATTCTTTAAAACACATTATTCTGAAACTGTCAAATGGCCCATGGGGTAAAAAAAAAAAAAAGGTTAAGAAGCTCAATGTGAAGCATCAGAGACCCTCCCGCTCCCAACCTCCCTGCTCAAACTTTCCCCATCGTGCTTATTACTTTCGGCAATTCCTCTACTTATTTATTTTCTTCTATCTCCCTCTTCTAGATGGTAAACTCCCTGGGCACCAGAACTTCTGTCTTGTTCACTGCTGTGTCCCCAGCCCCTAGGACAGCATCCGGCACATAACAGACGCTCAAGAAATGTTTGTTAAATGCATTAAGGGAGAGACAACCGTTTCCATTTTACAGATGAGAACACGGAGACTCACAGAGGGGCAATGAGTCATCCAGGTCAACAGTATCTAGGCAAGGCCAGAAAGGTTAGAATGTGCTAGAGCCTGCCCCTCTCCCAACCCCATACTAAGGACCTGCTCCTGGGGAGTGAGAAGCCCCCACTCTCACCGGGCAGCAAACCACAAACTACCCCTGAGGTCATCAGCCCTCCTCTACAGCTCCCTCCTGCTTTCCAGGCCTGGCACCAGCCTTCCCAGGTGCCCAAAGGGAAGAGGCAGGGAGCAGGGCAAAAGGCAGGGGCCGGGACCTGGGAGCAGGAGTGGAAGGGGGCATGTGTCAGGTACTACGGGAGGCGGGGGGCCCCCGGACAAGGGGTGGGGGAGAGCTGTCCCCCCGAGTGCCCCTCACCTCTCTCTCTCTACCTGGTGGTGAACCCATCTTCCCATCTCTCCCTGTCTCAGGGCAGGAAGCTGAGATGACAGAGAAGGTGGAGGATTTTGTGCAGGAACCTCTGGCAAACCTGCCATCAGCCGGAAGTCCAGGAACGGCCGATCAAGGCACTCCAGGGGCTGGGCCCGGCTGGGGGCCGAAGTCCTAGTCTGGAAGCAGCTACCCCTCAGGGCCCTAGGTGACCCCAGACAATCTCGCGGGACCCAGGGCCCCTGGACCAATCAACACTTACAGCCGCCTTTGGCAGCATGGCTCTGGGCCAGTCTCTGTCCCCCTCAGCCTGGGTTGTTGTGTCATAAACCCCCACCATGGGGGCTTCATGGACAGCAGGTGGGGGACATGTGTCAGGGGACCTCTGGGTTTTCTCAACATTGGTCAAGAAGCCTGTAGGCTGCACCCACACATTTCACCTCAAATCTCGCTCTACCTACTATGATTTCTTTTTAACCAGCTAATGACAGTTCCGGAACTCATGTTGTTTTCACTTTCACCTAGGCTGCCTCCTAGAGGACATTTTTGGAATTTGTGGTATGTGGTCCCGGAGAGAGGGCGGCGGGGGGGGGGGGGGGGGGGGGCGGCGGAGGACTCAGCCGTCCAGCACCGCACAGGGCACCCAGGTAGTCGTTCCTCCTGGGTGCGAAACACTTGCTACAAAGATTCTCTGAGCCATGAGCCTAACTCAGTTTTACATAAAATAAAGCAAAGGATTTTTGCACACTTTTAGTATCTGTTGAATTTTCCAGGATGGAAGACAGTTCTTTTTTTCTCCCCCCCGAAACTTTGTTCAGAACTTTGCCGAGCATTGTTCACCACTTCAGAAGACCATGTCATCGACGGCAGCGGACTCTGAGTCCTGCATGCCTGGCTGGCGGTCTGCCGTGGCACTCCTGGGGCTTCTGCCAGGGGGCGGGCACCCGCTCACCTCAGTGTGGTCTCACCCCACATTTATATGTTCAGGTGGATATTTTATCATAAATCCTTTTCCCCTTTGTTCTCCATTACGGCTGTGGACTTTTATGGATTTTGAAAGTGCACGTGAGTAAGTAGGTTCCATTAGTTACACATTTCACTGTAGGACAGTGAAGGGTGCACTATAGGATATTTGTTGTAAGAAGGGCACTGTATCTGGTGGGGTGGGAACCTGGGGCCTAATCGCTGGAGACACCAACGACTTGGTTTCTTTCCCTCCCTTGCCTTGGGTCCCACCTTCAGGCTTATCGTGAGGGCTCTGTGGTGGTGGTGTGTCTAGGTCCTCCGTGGAAACCTATCTTCCTGGAAGTAAGACGGCATCAAGGAATAAAAGGCAAGGAAACAAACAGAAGTTTCCATCCGGCTTCTTGGTCTTGGCAGAAGTCGGAGGGCCAGGGAAAGGCTCTGGGTCCCAAACTCCAACCTGTCCCAACTCCTGAAGTGCCCCACTGTCTGGGTCAATCACTGATTTGCCCTCTTGGTGGGAATTTCCCAATGGGCAGCATGGGCACGGCAGATGGGCCGCCGCGGGCCGCACGACCCCTGCGCCCTCCTTCTCACTGCCAGCCGCCTCCACTTCTCCCACTCCACAATTCACACCTTCTGGGTTTCCCCCGCCCCCGCCCAAACCGCACCATAATCACAGAATCAGTGACTACACCACTCAAAGGGACTTCAAAGATCTCCTCCAGTCGCAGGCATTTGAAGTAACAAAATCTGTAACCTGGATCCAACTCTCAATATGTGCCAAGTGATACAGTGGTGCCAATTTCCTTAATCCTTAGAAAATCTCAGGATTTCCTTAATCCTCATAAAATCTCAGGTCCTTATTGTCCCCATTATACAGCTGGGGAAACTGAAGCACGGAGAAGTTAAGCCATTTGCCCCATGTCATCCAGCAAGTCACCGGCAGAGCTGGGACTGAAATCCAGGTGGGCTGGTAGCGGAGCACAGATTGTTCAATACCATGAGCCTCTGAGGTCTGAAAGTTTTGTCAAGTCCCCAGGTATTGGAGCTCCCACTCAGCCCCTTCCTGCCCCCCGCCTCCCGGCCCCAGGACCGGTGAGACTGATGGGAGAAGGGCAGCGAGATTGATTTATAAACTCAGCCTCCTGCATCTTCCAGAGCCACAACCCCAGCCTCAGCCTCGCCTGCTTCAAGAGCACCAGCTAAATGATGCTTTGCAAACCTACCTCTCTCCCCTAAAGCCCTGCAGGGTGAGTACAGGTCCGTGGGCATAAATGCCACAAAGAAATCACTTTATGCGGCAGAAAGGCCAGCTGGCCAGCCATGCCCTTGGTCACTCAGGGAATCACCATATCTTCTCTTTGTCGATCTCACCTCCCAGGACAGGGAGTAAGGTGCCACGTTCCTGATGCCTTGCTGGGCTCCCAGGACGGACCTTCCCTTCTGCCTGCTCCACCAGGGCCTGCAGCTACAGCGGGCCTCCCTGCACGCGCCCCCCCCCCCCGCCCCATCCTCATGCCACCTGGGTCTGCACACCTGGCCACCGTCCCAAAGTCAAGCTGCATCCCAAAGTCAAGCTGCATCCCAGCGAGCCACCGACCGGTGGCGAGTGACTCTCCACTCAGGGCTGTGGCTAGGATTAAGTTGCAAAAGGCTGGAGAGATTGGGGATGACAAAAGGGGCTTGGAGACTAATTAGGAGCAGCAATGAAAGCTTAATTCATAAAAGCAAACATTTTCCATCCATCAACCTGCAACCAGTTAAGGGCAACGTTTGAAAGAAATCTGTGCGTGGGGAAGGGAGCCAACAGGAACAGGAAATGTTTGAAAGAATGTAAACTATTTCAGTTTCATAAAAAGTAACAAGTAAACAGTTATTACATGCAAATAATGCCCTGGTTTTAATTAATGCTGAAAAGTCAAAATATGTTTGACATTTGTATGTATACATTGAATGGTTGGAAAGGAAAAAATGGTGCCCAGATGCCCGTTGCTGAGCAGGGCTGGCGGCTCAGAGAGAACTAAAACCTTGAAAAGGTCTTGTTTATTGGTGATGAAAAGTACAATTCTGCCTCAGCCTCCGTCGAAACTGGGGGCAGAGGGAACCTAGCTTACTTTCTTAACTAAGCTGGAAGGGCAGGCTGCGTCTTGGGAAGGGCACTCCCAGCTTTTCAGCAGGCTGGTCTTAAAGGGCCAGCGAGTCCTCAAGCCTCCATTTCACTGGGGCAGGGTTTCTAGGACTTCCCCACCCAGAAGTGATGGTGGGTTTCAGGTCCCAGCAGCCTCTCACTCAAGAGCCCCGGGGAGCGGGGGGGGGGGCACCCGCAGTGGCAGCTGGTCCTGCCTGCCTTCCACCCGCCAGAGGCTGATCACACAGGCGGGGGGGGGGGGCGCACACCAGCCTTGATTCTGAGGTGGGGGATGGCAGCCTGCACCACATTCATGTCTCTTCTAAACCACCTTAAGGCTCAAGGGTTGGGGAAACTGTGGCTTGGGGAGACCACAGCTGGGGAGAGGCAGCCTCGAAGCTTGCTCAAAGCTTGAAGCTTCGGGAGATCCCAGCCCCATGGGGAGAGTGGCTGGGGTGCTTGGGCCCCTGCAGACCAGCCATTCGTCTAAACCGGCCGCTAAGCCCACTTGCCACAAAAGACCTACGAGGTCCCCTTTCAAGCTCCTTAATCCATGATCTCCTCCTAGCATCTTTTATGAGGCCAGAATACTCCACCGGGAAAGAGGGGTGACAGGGACAGCTTTGAGAGTTAGTAAACCCCAGAAACTGGGAGCAAATCGTGTCTTTTTCTGGCGAAGGACTCGCATCCTCAAAGGGTTTTGTGACACCCCCATGGGGCTCCAAACAGCTGAGACCAAGCCAGGCCTAGGGACTTGTTTCTGGGGCTCCCATTTGGGACCCCAAAGGCTTGCTCTCAGCTTCCTTCCTAGACCTCTGCCATTGCTGGTGTCAGGGTGCGCAGACTCCCTGCTGCTCACCTCGCCCACTGCGGCCCACGAAGCGAAGGTCGTTGAACCTGGCCACCTGGTTCTTCATGACTGCCGAGGCATTACGCAGCTCCGCAGAGTAATTCTCATCATTGCCGGCCATCACGGTCACCACTGTTCCATCAGGCACATCCCCCAGCGCCACCACCTGAGGGCACAGGGGCAGGGGGAGAGCTTAGAAAGGTAGGGGAGGCCAAGGAGAGGCGGGGAGGGGCCGGGCAGCTCCCCTAGGTCCCAGGCGCACTGCAGGATTTCTCAAAGGCAGAGCGGAGAAGAGGCTTAAACACAACGGACATCTTCCCCCGCAAATAACAAAAATAAGAAGCCGAAATCTCCGCCTTCCACACCCAAATCCTAGATCAACTGGTTAAGCCAAGTCCTGAGAAATTATCCTTGCAATGAAATCTGGGCGAGAGCTGTGAATGAGCTCTATCGCTGTGGTCTGGGGTGTAGTTCCCCTCTTTCCTCAGGCCTGAGCAAAAGAGGAATCAACATAGTCCTAGCAACCAAGTCTCTAAGTAAAAATAATAACAACAATAATAACGGGACTGCTCCCCACGCTCAATTAATGCAAGAGCCATTTGGGGTATGAAATTTGGCCCTGAAACGTGGCCCGGGCCCAGTTTGCTGGCCTCTGCAGAGCCGGAATTCGTTATGCAGGGAAAATGCAAAATGCAAAACAAAACGGTGTCTTGAGAGGGGTTGTACAGAAAACCTCTTTAAAGTGAGAGAGGGGCTTTCGATAGCAGGAGGATGCACCTGCTGGGAATTGCAGGATGGGGGTGGAGATGCCCCCCCAATACAGTCTCCCAGACCCCAAGCAGCGTGCAGAGGCAGATGCCTTTTGAAAGGGAATCACACTGCAAATGTAGTCACAGCCATTTAAACGTGGCCACCGCGTGCAGGGACTAGGGATCCAGATGGTAAAAATTTCAAGGAGAAAATGTTTGGGGTCTGATTAAAAAGGCCAGATTTCCTGTCAACATCCTGTCTTCTTTTAATTTCAAAGATTCCTTTTAAGCTCCAAGTGACAGTAAAACCTCCGATCTGAGGATTAAAGTCACACGGGCCTCCCCCTCCCCCTCCCCCCCCGGGAGATTTTCCCCACTGGCATTTTAAGATGTCACCCGGGAGACCTCCAAGAGCCACTCATCCTTTTTTTTTTTTTTTTTTCTCCAATTTGGAGTCCTCTTAATGGGAGCAAGGACGGCCTCAGCTGCCAGGAGCCGCTGTTTCCAGCCACCTCGGGCACCCGCCACCCCCAGACGCTGGCCCTTCCTGCCCTGCCCTTTCTCACGGCAGCTGTGAGAGGTTTAGGGGAAAACCAAGGCGTTTTCGTTTCATCTCGCTGCCCCCTTAAAAAAATGAAAATGAAACAGTCGCCTACTCCTTAGCAAAGAGAAAAAGATCCTCTGAATGAGTGGGGGCTGCCAGGAGTGGGAGCGCCCCCCATTTCAGGATTCTCGCCGCAAACGTTTAGGGTTCGGTGCCCCCCTTCTCAGCCCTAGAGTCGACCGGTGTAAAATTTCAGAAGCCAGTAGTTGAGGGTGTGAGCAGGAAGTGTTTCTGAAGCGGTGCAGGAGGAGGGGTACTGGCAGTGGAGGGTAGGCCCTATCCACCCTCCGCACCCCACCTCCGGTGTCCTCACCCTGGTCCCTGGTCCCGGGGCTCTTCTTCCCCTTTGCCGGCAAGGCTGTGTCGGAGGGATCCGGACTGGAGAGGAGCGAAGCCCCATCCGCCCGTTTCCTCATCAACGTCTTTCAGCAGGGCTCCCCGAAGGTGGAGGAGGCAACCCCCCCTAAAAGCCATCCGTGCCGGTGCATCCGAGAGGGAACGCCAGAGTCCCCGGGCGGAGCGCGCAGCGAGACCGAAAGCGCCCCGGGCCCGGCTGCTGGGCTCTCGCCGCGGGGTAGCGGGCACGTCCCCTCCCTTCCCTTGCCGGGGCCCTGGCTCCTGCAGCTGGGACGCCCGGATCCCCAGGGCCAGTGTCCGCCCGCCCCGGGCCCCGCACTCACCTTGAACGCGACGGGCAGCGTCTTGTTGCAGCGCCAGTGCGAGGGCAGCACAGAGCAGAGGAAGTTGGGGCTGTCGGTGCGCACGAGCTCGCCCGCGTGGTCCGCCAGCACGTCCACCATCGAGCGCACCTCCGGCCGGGCGCGCCCGCCCGGCCCCACGGCCGCCTGCGCGCTCAGCGCGCCGCTGTTCTCGCCCATCTTGCCGCTGCTGCCGCCGCCGCCGCCGCCGCCGCCGCAGGGGAAGGCCGTGGAGGGAGGTGTGAAGCGGCGGCTGGTGCTCGGGTCTACAGGAATACGCATAACAGCGGCCGTCAGGGCGCCGGGCGGGCGGCGGCGGCGCGGCTCCCCCGGGGGCGGCCGGCGCGGGCGCCTCCTCGGCCGCCGCTGCCGCGAGAAGCGGGAAAGCAGAAGCAGCCGGGCCGCGGCCTCAGGGCGCAGGGGGCGGCGCCCGGGGACGCCCCACCGGGGCCCGCCCGCAGCGAGGCCTCGCTGCCCCGACGGCCGCGCGCAGCCTTGCCCGCTACTCCCGCATCCTGGGCTCGCGGCCCGCTTGTGGCCGCCCCTCGCGGCGGGCCGTCTGCCTCGGCCGCGGCGGGGCCCGCGCGGGCTGTGCCGCCGCCACCGCCTCCCACCCCCGCAGGCGCTCGCGGCCGCCCCACCGACTGCGCGGCCGCAGCCCCAGAACAAATCCTCGAGAATCAAGTGGCGGCGCCGCGCCGGCCCGCGCCGGGTTAGTACCCCGGGGCCCGCGGGGGCGGGGCCGGCCCGAGCGACGCGTCGCGCAGCCAATCCGAGCCCCCATCGCCGGCACCTCGGCCGCGCTCGTGGGGGAGGAACAGGGACCGCCGAAGGCCGCCCAACGGGGAGGGGCGGAAGGCCCCGCCCCGGGGAGGACGCCAGGGTCGGGGGCCCGGCGCTTTAGCCCAGGGCTCCTCGAAAGTTCGGGGGCCCCGGGGTCAATGCTAAAACTGTGGTTAAGACGCCCGGGCCCTACAGAGGGCTCCTTTCCGGCTGTCTCCTGGGCGGCGGCTCCCTGACGCGGGGGCCGCGGCTCCCCTTCTCGCGCCCTTTCCCCGTCTGCCGGTGGCTGTGGGCCTTCCCCGCTCCGGCTGCTTTCGGCCTCTGATGCCTGCACTCTTAGCTGAGGGACGCGGGGGCTCCAAGGCCGGCGACATCGGGCGGGGAGCTGCCCCAAAGAGGTTTCTTACCCGGTGCCCGGCGCCCCCCGCCGTCCCGCCAATTATTTCCGTCCAAGAGCTCCCACCGCACATGAGATTCCACCACCAGCAGCCGCCTCTGCAGCTCCCAGCCCAGCGCGGCTTTGGGCCCGGCCTCGTTGGCCCCGTTGCCAACTGGGGACAGACGGGTGTCCCCCGCGGGCTGGAATCTGGCTTGGGGGTGACAAACCCGTTCCTCTCCGCTCCCCAAAAAGCAACTTTCAACCGTGCAGGCCTCGCTTCGTCGTTCTTCGTTGTGGCGGCCTGTGATTCTTTGAAAAACACGATGGGGCCTGGAAAACGCGAGTGTTTCCCCCTGATTTTTGCCCCGCGCATATAACCACGGCCCTGCATCGTGCAAGAGGACGCGGGTCCACGGCAGGAAGACCAGCGTGCGGCGAACGCGAGGATGGCTGCCAAGCTAAGGGCCCCCCGGCTCCCAGAGGAGGCAATTTTCTAACTCCGTGTGGATGCAAACTGGCTCCCCGAGGGCCCATGCCTCCGTCTTACGGGGCGGTGTGCTGCGGCCGCGCCGCAGGGACGCAGACCGCTCTGCGGAGGCACCGTCGCTCTCATTCCCGCCCGCGCGGCCCAGCGACTCCCAGGGCTTCACGGCAAACAGTCCTGGCCTCTCCCGCCTCCTAGGCCTAAGGACAAGCTACAGCGGCGAGGGGAACTGCAAAAATCAAGCCCCCATTCATTCTGGATTGACGCCCCAGAAGGGGTCCCTGGAGTCTAGGGAACCAACGAGCGCGCGCCGAGTCTCCCCGCCGTCTCGGAGACTGGACTGAATGTTCGTTGTTCCGGGCGCTTGACAGGTGCAGCACGACAGATTCCAAGCCTCGGAAGGGAAGAAGGATAGGGTCCGAAGGTGGCCGCAAGATCGCGCCCCAGATCTGACCCCGGCCCAGTGCGCGCCATTTCGTCGTTGCGGAACGAATTCAAGCCCCGCGTGCGCTTCAGGGCGGGTCGGCTGTGGCCCAACCCCGACCACCTGGAGAGGTGGTCCCTGCCCCTGTCGTAGCGTCACGTCAGCCCTCTGGGCCATTTCGAAGGCAGGGACAGCGAAGGACCCTATGGGATCTTTTTATAGAGCCTGCATCTCGGAGTTGCAGATCGCGGGGGCCAAAGCCCTTGCTCTCTCGGGAGCGCTGGCTGGAGCGGCGGAACCAGAAGAAAACGAGGTACCAGGGCCTTGGCGCGTCCGACCTCTGGGAGTTTCCCGCCAAAAGGCCCACCAAGTTGTGGCCAGGTACCGCCCGGGACCGGGGAGGGGGAGCGACGCGTGTGGCCCTGGAGCGGCTGTGGGGCCAGGACCCGCTGTGTCTGGGGTTTGTAAATTCGATTCGTCTAGTGGTTTCGGTTTGCACCCGTGCCCTTACTTGTCCCTCCGCCCGATTTCTCTCTCATCCTACGGCGGGTTCACAAACGGACATCCTGAAAATGCGGTTCCTGTGGGTCCCGGCACCTGGCACAGGATCCGGCGTGGCTCCAGGCCTCGGGAGGGTGCTCACTGCATGTGGGCGTGTGGGCGCGGGAACCAGGGGACGCTTGGGTCTCCAGCCTGCGGTCGCCGGGGCCCGCCGGGCCGGGAGCAGTTTCGGGAGCCACCGCTAGTTGGCGCCTGCACTCTGCCCGCCGCGGAGTTGCCCGGCCAGGCCCTGCCCACAGACGTGTGCCAGCTTCGGTCTCGCGTCCAGGCGCAACGGCCCGTCTCGTATGAAGTGCCCTTTCTGGACAGACGTTCCAGACGATTCCTCACCATCTATGCGGCCAGGATAAGCCAATGGCTTTGTGTCAGACCAAACGCTGCCCTACCTGCCTGCCCCTGATGGACACAGATGCCCACTGCCCTGGCATCTCTGGCACCCGACGGTCTCTGTGCCCTCCGACCCACAGAACGTTCTCCTTGCCAGAAATGCACAGTCCTCTCCTGTCCCATCCTGAGGGGCCAGAGGCTGAGGAGGACACGCAGAACAGGCCAGAAATTCCCAATTTCTACCTATGGCTAACTTACATCCTCCCCATCCCTGACCAGTGAAGCTAGGGTCACCTCTCTCTCTTTCTGTTTTCTTTTTACCATTTCAAGAGACAGTTGGACAGCTCCTACTCCCTTACGTGGGACACGTGGGTTCCCTCTTCCTTCCCTGTTTTCTATGGCTAGCCACCTCCTTTCCCTCTTCTAGTGGACTGGTGTACAAATCTCCTGCTTTCTCTTGAATCGCTCCCACTTAAGAGCAGCCCAAATTGTCCACAGCAGGCTGAGGAAGCCAGGAGGTCTGGGCCTACCTTGGCCCAGAGTTGGGAAGCAGGGACCCAACCTGGGGCCCACAGAACTCAGGATCTGGGGGCCACTCTCCTCCCTTCCCCCACCAGCATCCTTTGCCCCTGAGAGTGGGATCCATGGGGTCAAAATGACCCTGCGTCAGGGTGCTCTCCTCTGGCTGCTTGAGGGGGTCTAGGAGTGCACCCTAAAAGTGATGGTGGTAGTAAGGTGCCTACATGTGTCTCCCCACAGACCAGAGAGCTTACAAGGGCAGGTCTGATTCCTCAAGAGTCTGGTGCCTGGGGAGAGGTGAGGATCCCCCAAGTGTGCCAGACACGGGACATCTGTGGCATGGAAAACCTCCTAAGAAGTTCACTGGTTGTGGAAGGGGCCTGAGTCTGCAGTTCCACTGCCTCAGTTTGCCTTCTTCCACCACCTACCCGTGATCTAGGGAAAATTGCTTAAAACCTCTCTGACTCTTGTCTATTTCATTCACAAAGTAGGGCAAATGATAGTGGCCTCCTCACAGAAATGTGTGTAAGGTGTTTAGCACAGGCCTGGCACATAGGGGGTGCTCCATCCATGCAAGCCATCACTTGTATCACACTGAAAAAATAAGGCCTCCCCTTTGTTGGGGGCCTTTGGCAAGTCTCTTCGTCTTTGTGGGCCTTATACTTCCCATTTGTGAAATATCCAATTCTCATGTTCAAAGTTTCCAGGACTCAGAGCCTAGTCCATGGCATCCTGCCCCCCTCTTGGTTCACCTAGAGGCTGCCTGGGGGAGGTAAGGTCTGTCTGTGATCTGCCTCTAGGCAGAGGCGGCTTGCAGGAGGGTTTTCCAGCAACCATCACAGGGCTACCTGAGCCTGGATCTTAAGAAGACTCACCTTCTTTCCCCTAGGCTCTTAGACCCTCATTGGAAATCCACTGGTCCCCACCCCCTAGCCTCCTACAGACAGACACTCTCTGGGCCTCAGCTGACACTGTTAGCCACCTCCCCATCCCCAAGGAGGCTTGCGTTCCCTTTATGCCAAGTCTCCTGGGAGCCCCAGTCCAGTTACTAGCAGAGGACTCTCTTCTAGAAGTTAATGATTTCTTCCAGCCTGGCCTCCACACCCTCTGGTGAAGCTCTCCTGCCTGGTGGTCTGGAACTTAAGATGGGACATTTCTGTCCGTCAGTGAGCCTCAGTTTCCCCTTCCATGAATGGAGGTGGTTCTGATCACTCCATTTCACAATCCAGAGGATTAGACTCCCTCCAGGAGGGGAGGAGCATTGTGTTTCACCACATCTAAAATGCCATCAATCGCTCCATGTGAAAGAAAAAGTACCGCTAGTTAAACCAAGGCTTGCATGCATCCCGATTTCAGATACGTGTGTTTATACATATATATCTTTTTACACATACACACACACACACACACACATAAAAATTAGTGAGAAAGGGTCATGAAGAACAACAATAATATGGTCAAGGGGTTGTTGCTGGCAGGGTTGGGGCCCTTACCCCAGAGAATTCCTTCTGGGTAGCCTTTCTGGAAGGCTCCCGAATGTGCAAAAGGACAAGTGTGCTTCTCAAATTACAGGGTGGCTTTTTTTTTTTTTTTTGGAAAGGGCCAGACTGTGAGGGGAGGGCAGGGGAGCTGGAGAGAGCGCTGTGGTTAGGACACAGCTACTGGCTCTGCCGCTGACTGCATGTGTCACTTTTGCACCTCGCGGAGCCTCCTCAGAACCCTGGCGGGGCGGGGGGAAGGGGAGGAACGGTAACAGGGAGGATTGCTGAGGTATTCCCGTGCCCAGGCCCTGTGTCTGGGCTTTA